TCTCGTTCTTTAGGTCATGACCCAAAGCTCATGACTATGGATGAGGGTGGGAACGAAGAGCGACCAGTAAATCGAGAGCTTCACTTTGTGACTCGGCTCTCTCTTCACCATGACGGATTGGTTTCCTGCACCTAAATAATAAACTAAATAATCTGTAAGATTTGACCTGTCAACTCCAGCAGTGTTAGAGTTGAACTCAATTATATGAAACCTACATGTTTCATGTGTAATAAAATCCTAATGGCACTGAACACATTGCTAGCTGCTCCATGCTTTGGGCCGGACCTCTGGCTTCCAGCTGGAAGTTCGGTTCTGAAGAACCAGATCTGCAACTCAAAAGTAAAACCAAGTTACAAAACATTTTTGCATTTTTCAGTTTTTCTGAAAACCACCATAAAAAAGCTATAGAAGAAAAGCGGCATCACTGAACCCAGTGAGAAACAGAGATGCTCCACAAATTCAGTTTTTTACTCACATAATATTGTCTTAAAAGTAGAGAGGATTGTCTCTGATTGCTGAAAACGTCTCCAGGTGAAACCAGAACCAACCTTCCTCCTCCTCTTCCTCCTTTTCCTCCACCTGCAGGCTGAACGGCTCTGATTGGGTCTCCATGTTCCCCCTCAGAGCACAGCTGTAGTTCCCAGAATCCTTTGCGGTCAGAGGGCCGAGCTGGAGGGCGGAGCCGTTCCCTGGGAGGGCGTGGCCATCTTTCCTCCAGGTGACCTCCAGGTGAGTGAAGGTGCAGGTAGAAGTGGTGCACTGCAGGGAGACAGTTTGACCTCTGCTGACCTCTGACCTCTTGCTGGAGCTCTTTAACTTCATCTTGATCAGATCTGAGTGAAACGTTCTCATTAGTTTCCATTAATATCTGTGATTACTGTCTGAATGTGACGTGTTGATCTTACCAGCCACTGAGATTCGGACTCCAGCCTGGTTTGTAAAATGTCCAGCAGAATTATCCGCTTCCATCCTGAATCTAAAGGTTCCCTTGTCCTCCATCCTAATGTCTCTGATCTGCAGAGTGCAGTTTGCCTCCATGTTGCCCAGGTAATGAAACCGAGGCTCTCTGGCTGTTGAGTTGCTGTCGTAAACAGACGGAGTCGTTTTATGACAGATCTGATGATTCTTACACCAGAGAACTCTGACGATCCTCAGAGGAATCTCTCTTCCTCCATGAGAGAAAGATTTCAGAGGAGTGAAGTAACAGGGCAGGATGACAGTCGATCCTCTCACCGCACAGGTCGATCCAAACCGGTACCGGATCGTTTGGGCCGCGGCTCCTGGACAGAGTTTAAAATGGTTGTCTTAGTGAAAACTGATGAAACCATCTTGTTTTCTGACGATCCATTAAAAGGAAACAGTTAAACTAGATCTAAAGGAATTTGGATTTATATCATAAACTGAGAAACAAACATCTAAACTGTTTATCACTGCTGATCAAAACGATAAATTTCTGCAGAAAAGTTTTGATTTTAACATTTAGTTTTAGTTCATCCTGCATCAGTAAAGAGATGAAAGAGAAAAACTTTCCTTTTATTCAAACTACAGAAATTAAACAGATTTAATTTCGTACTTCCAGGTTTTTTTTTCTTCCTGATGAAGATCAAACTTCTCACTTGGCAGCAGGAACATGAAGCTCCAGGAACCATCCTGAGCATTTACTCTTAATGCTGATCGTTCTGTCAGAAAACTGATCAGTGATGATGTAACTTCCTGTTCACACTTCCTCCTTTATTTTAGTTTTCTTGCAGCTTCTCTCTACATCGTAAACTAAACCAGCCTCAGATCAGATGATCTAAAACCTTAAAAATAAACTAAATAATCTGGAAGATTTGACCTGTTAGCTCCAGCAGAGGGTTAGAGTTGAACTCAATTCACTTCAGTCATAAAGCGAAACAACAAACGGCGTCTTGAGGCTCTTTACCAAAACATCATCTCAGTTCATTCCTGCTATCAAACTAAAGCATCATTTAGATTAAAAGTTTCTGAGGAAGCCCAGAAGATGATCATTGTTATTCTCCTCCATTAGTGATGAAAACACGATCAGCCTTTATGCAACTGAAGAACGAGTTTCCACAGGACTCCAGATACAGAGCAAATTTTCTCTCTGATTCGTAGAACTCAGTTAAAATAAGATAAATAAAATAAAGAGTTATTAGAAATTATCAGACGGACGTCAAGTTTATTATTAATGGAAACAACAATCAGAAATATTGGCTTTTATTAATCTGTCAGACTAGCAGTAATGGATGAATTTACAAACATACTTTGTGCCACCAGAGGGCGACAGAGTCAGTCAAACAGAATAAAAACACAATGGAGCAGAAAACCAGCTGATCATGTCTGACCAACACTGGAATATTTACAGTCATAAATTACATCCGAGTCTGAAATAACAGGAAAAAATAAATAATTCATGACAAATCATCCCTGAGAAAACATGGAAGGTCTGAGGAAAAACATAAAAATAAATCTAAATGTTCACGACTTAAAATATCAAAAGAAACTTTACATTTTATAGCAATAACCAGAATAAGATGAAAAATTACAAACTAAAGTCAAACTGCTGCTGTGCAGCAGAATCGTATTTATGCAGAACATGAATTTATTTTTTCAGGAATAGGACAGAAAGAAAAGTTATTATTTTAGAAAACGTGTTGCGTTTAGAAATAAAACACTGAAAACTTTTTTGTTTTTACTTTTTCCTGCTTTAGAAACTGAAAATAAAAACCAGCTTCCTGTGTCAGGTTCTTATTGAATAGATGATCAGTGGGTGGGCCAAGCCCCGCCTCCGAGGCGCTGCTCCTCCCCCAATCAGCTCCTTCAGACTAGCCAGCAGCAATTAGCAAAGAGCTGCTGAGCTCATTATAGGAGCTGCTGCTCAGAGCAGCGCTGGTTAAAATATTAAAGGGTTAATAGAGAAGCCATGTTGGGACAACTTCCTGGAGGCGGAGCTTCAGGAAGAGTCGGAGCTTCTTAAAGAGGCAGAGACCCAATTTGAAGGAGTTAAATCAGAAAGTCTCATTTCTTTTAAGTCATACTTGATATTTGTGTAGGTAACAGTTTTATAACTGGAGGTAACTGTTAGGGTTAGGTAGGGATTGTGCTGTGAAATGACGCAACATGTCTGGACCTTTAAACTGAAACAATCTGAACGCTGAAGGATTTGTGGTTCTGGACTTCACACCGAGTCATTGGGAACAGAACCTACTGGACCTAAAGGTGAATGAAAACGGGTCAGAACTGCTGGGATCAGAGCAAAAGTTTCAGCCTGAACGAAGCTGACGCTGGAGCCGGACCCGCCACTGGACTCCATGATGGTCTGGTCCGGACCCGTCCAGGCCTCCGTCACAGGATGATGGTCTGGTCCGGACCCGCGTCCTCCGGGCCGCTCAGTGAGTGGATCTCCAAGGACGCGTTTGTTCTGGTTCCGTCGTCTGCGGACGGCAGCCGGTCGGACCCGGAGCCGGCGCGCTGCCACCTCCAGACGCGGACGGCGCCGAGCACCAGGATCAGAACACAGGCGGCCAGCAGCAGGGACACCACCACCAGCTCGCTGTGGTAGCTCCTCTGGGTCGGTACCTCTTCAGCCGGGTTCGTCATGGACCGGCTGTCCTTCCTGGAGGTCGGGACTATTTCCTGGACGGAGAACGCATCGCCTTTAGCCTGAGTCACGCGCTCCTCTGGGTCGGAACCGGTGGTGATGAAGGTTTCATTCTGTGCTGCGCCTGAAGCTGGGATCACAGTCGGCTCCTCGGTCCCAACAGACCTCTCCTCCGGGCCCGGGGACGCCGGATCCTGGTTGACCTTCGACAGATGCCGAGGACCGAACGCTGACCGGACGGCGTAGCTCGCCACCACCTCCCTGACTCCGCCTTCCACCGCCTGGCACTGGTAGCTCCCGAAGGTCCCGGCAGAGGCCAGGAAGCGGAGGCTGCCGTCTGCCGCCTGGATGAAGGTCTGGTTCGATAGATCCGCGGCGTCGGTGGAGGTCCAGGTCAGCGCGGCGAGGTTAGACGGCTTCATACACTGAAGCGTCACAACTTGGCCCAGCTGGACAAAAACTTCTGCAGGAAAGAACGACGGAAACCGGTGAAGGTTTCCCTCACAGCAGATTCTGTTTGGTAATGTGGATGAGGGGGAAGCTACCTTTGTGCTGCAGGATCTGCTCTGCCGGCTGACACTCGTCCCCCGTGACGACCTCCAGGGTTTGAACTCTAAGAAAACAAACACGGCCATGTTTACTGCCTCCTTTACGTCGTGGTTCTGGTCGACTGCTTCTAGCTTCAGGAGGTTGTTAAAGTATTTAAGGATTAATTATTTTTGTTAGCTGCAACAATAGCTTTTATAAAAACAGTTTTATAAAAAATATTTTAAAGTGATTTTAGATGTAAAAACAATACAACAAAAATATGTAAATTAAGTATTGTCACACAGATGTTGCCATTTTGTTTACGCCGCAATGCATCCTGGGTGAATGAAATGCGCTAGGTGGTAATAACGCTCAGTCGCTCCAATCTGAAGCGGAGAGCATTCAAACTTTATTTTAAAAATGTAACATTTTTTAAGTAAATATGAACTGGTGAGAACAGCTTTAGGTCAAAAATGACTTCATATTTAGGCCAACATGCTGTGGATTCCTTTTATAAACTTGGATGTTTGGAGAAAAGTTGCTTATTCTGCATGTTTCTGATAAATACCAGTTCTTATTCCTTCATTTATTACTATTTTATTAACTTATCAGGTATTTATAGTAACTGAAACATTCGGCTGTTTTTCCCCGACTCGGCCATTTAGGTTGATTTTAATCTAGCAGCAGACGTCCAGTTTATTGATCATTTCTGATGTTCTGGGTGATTAAGATCCACTCACATGTCGTCATCGGCGCCATCCAGACCCGTGCAGGTTCTGCGGGTCGGACTCCAGCCACACAGCGGATCCCTGGCCAGGATGCATTGCCTGCAGCTCCGGTAGCTCAGACACCGGGCCACCGGTACCGCCGTCACCCCCTCAGACGTTCCCACATACACGAGTCCCTTCAGAACCAGAACCACACAGTGAACCAGCAGAATCATGCAGGACCTGCAGGCGTTGTGGTGTGAGGTGTACCTTGGAGGAAGACAGGATCATGCTTTTGACCCGCTGAGGTTCCCTGAACACTTGGATCTCCTCAACGACTCGAAGGCCCTGATCCGAAGGAACCGCCTTGTGGAGGAACCCGGACTCTGGATGGCGAAGAAATTATTCTGATCAGGGTTCAGTTCAGAAACATCTGATGGCACCGCTAACCGAACTAACCCTGAACACTAAACAGTCTTTGCTCTGATGATATTAAAGCGCCACACCATGTAGCTAAAACGTTACAGCCTGTAGTTCTACAGCAATGCATTCTGGGTACAGAATAAACATCAGTTCCTGCTGCGCCACGCAGGTGGAAAACATGAGGAGCAGCAATAAAAACATTGCAAATATGTAAATTATTGCATGTATTTGTCTAATTGACACCTCTGGTTGTTCATACAAGTGCTGCATTCTTCTGTACAGCTCGTTCATTCAGTCATTCGTTCATTCAGTCATTCGTTCATTTGTTTTGTACTTCCCATTTGCTCAGTAAAGTTTCTTAGCAAAGAAACATGACAGGAAACAGAACTGCTGCGTAGAGAGATTTCAAAATAAGAGCATGAATACAAACGTCTAACTGCAACGAAACTTCAACACAAACGTTGAACTTTATTGAAGTGAAAGTTTACAAAGACAACTCTGGAAAATTTAGCTTAGGGGGAAGCTAAGTGTGCTAACCAATTTCAAAGCTAGCAAAAACACTGAAGTGCTAAATTAAAGATTAGCCCGGCCATCAGCAGATTAGCGGAAATGTGTCCACTACTGCATCTACTTAAAGTCTTTTAGAAACTTAATCTCAGTTCAGCGTCTCACCGGTGAGGAGAAACAGGACGTCGTACTGTTGGCTGTTGGCCGCCGTTGTCTTCATTACGACCACACGACTGTATTTCTGCTCAGGAAAAACCAGAACCGGTCCAACTGGTTGCACGTTGCTGCTGGTCAGGTAGCTCATCCTCACCTCCGAAAGCTCAGAGTCGGAGGAGTTTGAGAGGCCGCACTGTCGGGAGAAGGATCGATATTATGGCTGTGCCAAAAAAAAAGGATTAATAAGAATCCCAATTTTCAGTTACTTCGATTCAGAATCAATTTAAAATGCTGGCCTCCATCTTAAACAGCGCGGGCGCTTTAACGTCACCATGGAAACCGTACTTGAACATAGCAAGAGTGGAAAGCACCAGAATAAAAGAAACTAGAAATGAACATAGTTACTTCATTTAAGGCAAACATTTGGACTCAGTTCGTTTCTTCCCCAAATTCCCAGGAAGATCAAGTCGGACATGAGCTTCACTGTGAGCAAGGTTCACAAAATGAAGAGCAAGGACTGCAGGAAGACCGTTAAAGGGCGCCGCTCCTTCCGGTCCAGAGCCCCGGGAGGCGGGTTGGGGTTGGTCCGACGTTTGTCCTGTTTTACCCGGAAATGTTGACATTCTTGCTAAATAATTACAAAGACTGAGAGACAGCTAAAGACTCCTGGAAGTAAATTGCAGTGTCTGAGAGGTGGCGCTCTTTGAGAAAAAGACACTTTAATGTCTCCATTTGTCATTCAGACTGGAATAGATCAGAATCATTTCCACACCTAAAGACTGAAGCAGAAATCATTAACACCATTTTACGCAGCTCTACGTTAGTTTATGGTTTTATCGACTTACAGATTGAACTCAGACAGAATGAATGGAAAGGAAGCCCAGATTTACCTTTATCTACTGAACAGATGCTATGCTAGGTGTGGTAACTTGCTACTCTGGATGTTCTCACCTGTCCCAGGTATTTTCGTCCCGCTGTGCGTTTCAGTTGATACGTTTCCTTCTCCAGGGTCTTAAAGGTTCCAGCAAACACGTCTCGGATGCCCTTCAGCTTAAAGGTGCAAACTGCAGACTCAGGCCGCCGGGACCTGAAACGGATGTTCTCATGTTATCCGGGTCTGTAAAAGCACCGCCATCAGGAATGAGACGGAGACTCACCACTGGGAGGTGAAGACGCCATAAAACAGTGTTTCTGAGGCGTCGGCGCCCTCTGGTGGCTGTAGGGCGAACATGTCCTCCAGGATGTTGAAGGGAAACTGTTGTGGAGGCTGGCAGAGCAGGGCAGACTTGGCAAAGGATGTCCACTTCTTCTGCAAAATCCTCTGTCCTCCAACGTCGTCCTGTGAAAGCGGCAGAGCATTATTATCTCCGATCCGCCATCGGGTCACACATCGCTGCTCTGCGTCTCCAGAACCTTGCAGACTTGAGCCACTCTGGGAATCTGAAGCTTGTCGACGAAGCTGAACTCCTTCTCGATTTCAGAAAAAAAGAAGTAGAGTTTCTGTCCTGCCGGGTCCAACGACACGCTCACAAATCTTGGCTCTGAAAATGCAGGAAGTGTTGACTGAAGATTAAACTCAGGTGGTATGAATGCAGGGAAAAGAGATCTGGGAGCAGATGGACTGATCATCAAACAGATGTGAAACTTTAGCAAAGTATAGGGTTTTCTCAAATCTCTCCTGTTGACCAATCTCTAAACAAGGACAGGATGTTTCAAAATGAGAGCAACGTTTCTCAGAGACGCTTATGACACAAAGGGGAACTGAATCACTCAGGGTGAAATGAGGAACTGTGATCTCACATTAAACCCACTTTGGGTGGTTTTTCTGAAATTAGGTCATGTGGCACAGATTTCTAAATGATTAAAGATTACAGTTTCTAATGTTTACACTAAATTACAATAATTTCAAGATGACTGAGTGAAATCTGCTAAAGGGGCCTGAGAGGACAGATTTCTGAATCAGTCTTTTGACTCTTTCTGTGAGCTTATTTCTGTCAGGATTCAGGACAGTAACAGAGTCCTCTACAGATACACTTCAGAGATGTTATCCACTCACCCTGAAGTAAACTGATGGAGTCTAGGCTGATGTCTGGGCGGCCATCTTTGCTGAGGAATCGAGAAATTTGTGGTTTTTTTCCCTGGAAGTCGGTGGTTGTGGCAGCAAAGAGTTCCTGGTCTGCATGATAAGAGAAACACTGAACAGTAACACATGGTCTGCTCAGTAAGGCCAGGTTCAAACTGGAGGGAGGGTTTGGTTTATGAGGAGACATGGAGCAGAGATACACTGTTTGCAGGGTTTTACAGGGTCGCTGAATTGGTTGGCGGTAGTTTCCCCAACCAATTCAGTGACTGTGTGCCTCATGGGCACCTGTAGGAAGGGCCCTATAGGTATGAACTCTGGGGCCCTTTACTAGAGGCTATCCGTCCTGTGTACTGTGAGCTTCGTTCGCATCGCTGGCACTAACACGGTTCCAGGTGCTTCGGCGGGACCGCCCTTTGTCACCAGTCCTTTTCATAACTTATAGATAGGATTTCTAGGCACTGCCAAGAGCTGGAGGGTCCCGCCGGGGGATCAGTGGATTTCATCTATTGCTTTTTGCAGAAGCCATGCGTCCTTTGGCTTCCTCTGACCAAGATCTAGAGCATGCGCTGGGACAGTTCACAGTGAGTGGCTGAGAGACAGATCAGGTCCACAAAGTCAGAGACGATGGTTCTTCACCGGAAAGGCTGAATGTCTTCTCTAGCTTGGAGGGAAGTTCCTCCTACAAGTGGAGGAGTTCAAGTACCGTATTTTCAGAACTATAAGGCGCACCTAAAAGCCCAAAAGCCTTAAATTTTCTCAAAAATCAGCAGTGCGCCTTATAATCCGGTGCGCCTTAAGTGTGCAATGAATTCCAAAATCTGTCCCCGACAAACACATAAAGTGTACGGTACGTACGCCAGCAGCGATAAACCAATCAGAGGACATTACATAATACGTAAAGTAGTACGCTGGCAGCGATAAACCAATCAGTGATTGTTGTCCGAGTTGTGCAGCATAGCCTCGGTAAAAACCAGATCGGTTTTTCCACGCATCACCGTCCCTGTTCATCTGCGACTCCATGCGCGCCTGTCTCACTGCTACTGTGGAAAAAGGAAGTGCAGCAAACTAATTCGGAGTTTGCCGTCATTCCGGGAGGATTAACAGAAGAACTCCCACCGCTGGACATTGGTGTAAACAGGCCGTTCAAACAGAAGTTGGGAGCGGCGTGGGAGCGATGGACGACAGACTGAACACAGTTTACCGAGACGGGAGGCGGCGCCGGGCGAGTTACGCCTCCATGTGTGGATGGATGGCGGATGTCTGGGCTGATGCATCGGCCTTAACTGTCTGAGCTTCACTAAAGCCTACGGTGGCCGACAGGTGCAAATGCGCAGCAACAGAGAAAACATGCACACACAAAAAGAGACGCAAACAAATGAAATGCACCAAACAAAAGATGCAAACAAAAAGTGCTCCAGACCACTAGAGGGAGTCCAACAAAAACAGCTGTGTCCAAATTTAGTGTCTGCATCCTTTAAAACGGGCGTTCAGAAAAGCAGCAATGGCGGCAAAATTATTTTTGCTGTTACACTTAAAATTACATAAAATTATTTTTTACAATGTTTTTACGGAGAATGTAGATGTATAGATCTCAAATATCTGCTCGGTTCATCAATAAATCACCTAATTACAATATTCCTCCGACGTTTTCGTAGATCTGCATTAACAGCAGCTGTCAGCTGGCCGGGAGATCCAGGTTCGGCACACCGAGAGGGAACGCATGTCTCCCGGCAAATCGTTTAAAAACTCCCGCTAGTTTTCCACTATGAGTGGAGGTGAAACGCAGATATTAAACCAGGTAACAGCTGTAAATGTTTTTGGTTCACTATAGTATTTAATTTATTCCTGAGCAAATGGGTTTCACTGATTAAAGCCAAGCCTTCAAACATACAGTTTTACTTAACTGTAATGTCTCACTTCCTGAGATATGGAGAGTATTTGAAAATGAATAATTTGCTTACATTTCTGTCTGTCGAGCCCTCACGTCAATAGTCCGCCGATCTGATCAACAATATCCCGCAGTGCTGAGGCATCTTCTGCTGTTTTGGTTGAGCAAAGCAGGAGGGACTTTTGTTCTTTTGTTTGTTTGCATGTTTTCTCTGTTGCTGCGCATTTGCACCTGTCGGCCACCGTACTGAACAGCCACCTGGCAACGAGTCTGACTCCGACAATGATGAGAGGGAACCTGGCATGTTTGGCCAGCTGTTCAATTCAGATACAGAAGAGGAGGACTTTGATGGATTTGTGGAAGAAGAATAAAAAAATAACGTGAGTGTATTGTTACATAGTCGAATAAAGTTCAACTAAACTTACTGCTTTGTTTCCGTTACCTTTTTTTTGTTGCTGACCGTATGTTTTAGCATGCGCCTTATAATCCGGTGCCCCTTATAGTCCGGAAAATATGGTATTTGGGATCTTGTTCACAAATTTCTCAGTCATAAAATTGGGGTCATGATTTAAAAAAATGAAATCCTGGATACAAGTAGCCAAAATAAGTTTCCTTTTCAGGCTGGGCTCTTCTTTAGAGAAAGGGTGAGGAGTTCAGTCATTCTGGAGCAGAGCTGCTGCTCTTTCACATCGAGAGGAGTCAGCTGAGGTGACCAGCATCTTTTCTGGATGCCTGGTGAGGGAGATGTTTCAGGCATGTCCCTCCAGGACGAAACCAAGGTGATGAGCCAGGACACTGGAAGGACGATACGTCTCTGCTGGTGTAGGAACGCCTTGGGCTCTTCCTGAGGAGCCGGAGGAGGTGGCTGGGAAAGGAGACTGCTGCCACAGAGACCCGGTCCTGGATAAGCAGAGGATGATGATTATGAGTTTAATCAGTCTAATCTTCAGTGGTTTCCTACAAAGAGAAGCTACAGCCTTCCATAGCAGCAGCTGAAAGGAAAGTTATCAAGCTCATCAAGAACTTGAAGAAGAGCAGTTCAGCTCCCAACAAGATGCTTCAAGAGGGTCCAGTAAGCTCCAGAACCGTCTGCTCCTGAGGAGGAGGGTGCCACAGCGCTTGTTCAGGCAGCAGGTGGTTTTCTGGGATCAGGCAGACTGTAAGGATGGACATGTTCCAGTGAGCCCAGTCTCCAGGAGTCCAACAGAGGAGTATCTTGGTCCAGTCCATGTGCGGCAAAGCTTCTTCCTGACTCTTCTCAAGTTTTTATAGACTTCAAATAGAAACTGCAATCAACATGTTGTGCTGCTTATATCCATAAACATATCTGTAACCTGCCCTGTCTGTAGATCTCTACATTAATGTAAAACCCAAACTAACCAATGATGACTGCAGCGCTCCGTTCAAAAGGACTGAACGGACAGCGCCCTCTAGCTTTGTCCTGCTGGACCACCGACAGCTCCATGTCCTGCAGGAGACAAACAGAAGCTGTGACTGTGGAGTCACTAAGAGCTGTTTCCATCCCTGCCTTTCAAAAGAGGATGAAGACTCACGATGAAGGCTTGCTGAGGGTTGTAGGCGTTGCTGCCGCAGACGTACAGGTGGGTGGAGTTCACTCGCTGAACAACATGGACAAAGTTTTGACAGTCGCCCTGCAGGCAGAAAGGAAACAACCCAGATGAACTTGGAGCAGATGTTACTTTGAACAACTGAAGGAAAGTGTTTGGCTGATCAACCAAACTCTCAGATGGTTTCCTACTGCTCAGACATGAAGCAAAACTGTTTTCTAAATGGTTTGATCTGAGTCGATGAAGATGTGAGGGAAGGCTGTTCTGGCTCGTCTGTTTGGTTTTCATGTTGAACAACTGAAAATTCACAGCGACTTTCTGAAGCTTTGAGGCTGGAGGTAATCAAATGTTGAAGGTTTTCATTTTGGGGCAAAAGAGGAGATCAAAACATTTGAAACAGTCAAATGGGCCCTGAAACTCCTCTTGTAGGTTTTGAATCATCTTTGGTTAAGTGAAATGCTAAACCAGTGGTTGGTGTATTTTTCACCCTGAACAACCACAGACCATTGGTTCAGGACAACCAGAGGCTTTCTCGCACAGAGAAAGTCCCAACTGTCATGTGAACTTCTCTTTATAAAGACATGTAGAATTTCTATCTGTGAAAAATACCTTAAAACTACTTGTACACTGAACAGCAGCTGCAGTTATGGAGTTCCACAGGATTGTGTGTTTGGCCCGTTTCTCATCTACTATGCAGACGATGCTCAGCTGCAGATCTGATCAATTAATCGTGGTTTAGTAAAACTCAGAGCGCTTTCTTTAACTCCCAAATAAAACCCGAATCTATGACCTTTCCACCCCTCAGTCCTGCCCACATTCTGGAGAACCGACCCAACCGACCAGCTCCTCTGATCCATTCTTGCATTTCGCTGTTTTTGATGTTGCAGTTAAAAGATTGTATGATGGGAATATTAGAAAAGATCATTTCAGGGTTCGAAACGCAGCAGCGTTTTCTCCTCCATCGGGCTGGGTTCTGGGAGGAATCGGACTCATCGGATCCCCCATTACCTCCGGGTCCTGCCCTTTGTTCACACAGTCTCTTGTGTCGGTCTGGGACGGACTCCATGTCACCTGAACACAACAAACACCTGAGTGTCAAAGCAGGAAGACTCAGACGGCTTCACCTGGATGATCTGGGAGCTCACCTTACTCCTCAGGCTGATGACATCACTCCGGCTGACGTTCAATAAGAGGATGGCATTTCTAGCTCCAACGTAAAGGGTGGAGCTGTCGTTGCTAAGCAACAGTGTGGTGGTGTTGCTGACATCAGTGAGGCTGAAGTGAACCAAAGGTCTTTCTGGTGAGTCTGAGAAGAAACAACACGACCGGTTGGTCTGATGAGCCAACGGTTCTTCAGAACCAGCAGTTGGTGCCGCTAATTAAAAAGCTAGCTGCGCTAATTCTAAAGCGCTAAGTAAATATTCGGTCCGCTAGCGCGCTACACCACCATGGTGTTTAGGGTAAGCTAATCCTACAGCACCAAGTTCAACCATATTGATAGCCACCATGTCACTGACACAACATGCACTACCATGTAGCATAGCGCCCTCTACAGGTTTGAATTTGTCTTTCCACTTGTAGGTGTTTTGCTTCAGGAAGTGATTCTTTGGTTCATAGCTGTTTTTTTTTACTAACTGCTGCTGATTCAGTTGAACATCAGGAGGTTTTAAACTGTTTGCTGGGTGCATTGAAGCAGCAATGCATTCTGGGTACAGAATAAACGTTATTTGCTGCACCGCATCACAGGTGGAGGACGTGAGGAGTTTCTGTTTTCAGATTTATACAAAATGACTTTAACAATCAGGCTGTTTTATACATGAAGAACTTTTATATGTTGCTAACTTTATTAAATGAATAAAGAAAGATGGACCGGAAACCAGATCAAATCTAAAACTGAGTCTGTCTCATCAGACGTCTGCTCAGTTTGTCTCAGGGTTTTAGTGGAAACGTTGAGTGAGCGTTGTGACAAAGTGAGGTCAAAGTGTTTGGCTGATCTGAAAACCCTGAGGAACCATTGCTGATCTCTGGTCTTCCTCCGACTTTCCACTGAGGTCTGAGTCACAGAACGTGAGTTAAAGGTGATCTAAAAACAGGCCAGGTGAAGAAACGTTGGTTCCTCTGTCAGCTGACCAGTTTAGTGGCAGCTTCCTGTTTCTGGGGTTCTGCTCAGACGGGATGTGGTTCACAGCAGCAGAGACGCGCCGCTTCGTCTGAGCGCCTTTAAATAATCTGCAGAGCAGATTTTATCTCACAGGAAACAAAACACCTCTGAGCGATACAGCAACATGATTAGAAAACAGCAAAAACAAATATTGATTAAAGTCTGAAGTTGGTGGAGGAACCGTGACCCGTCTCTGGCCTGGAGGCATCGCAGGATCCTTTAGGAAAGTTCTGGACCCGTTTGAAGCCTCAAATCCTTAAAAAGATAAAGTGTCACCACTACAAGTCCCTGAGGAACACCAGGTCAGAGTTAGTGTCACCTCAGTCATGTTACACCATAAATAATTAATCTGCTTGATCGGTTAACATAAATTCAAGTGGTTCAAGTTCAGTTTGTGGAATTATATTGATAAGGATTTAATCTAATAATCATTTCCTTTCATTATGTAGCAGGTTTGCAAAGCCTGCATGTTTTTGTTCTTTAATATTTTTATAAGCTGCTTGTCTGACAAACTTATTTTTAATTTAGTGAGTAAATACATAACCACAGTAACTTTGATGACAGAAATGTGTTTTTCTGCTGCATGTAAAGTTTGTTGTTTTAAAAGCCTCAGTAGCTGCCGTGTTTCATTTCCAGCTGTCTGAACCCGTTTGGTTCTGAAACTCTGATGCCGGCAGAGCATCAGGATTCATGAGCTCACTCTAATAATATTTAAATTTTAAGTATATATGTTCCAAATATTTTGACCGGCTGTGGTTACGTTTTGGTTGCCGTAGCGACTCAGATGTTTTTGCATGCAGATCTGAGCTCAGTTTGATCAACCACATTCAGGTTATAAGTTGTTTTCTGAAGGCAGACATGCTGAGCGCGGCGGCCATGTTGGTCATTTTGACGACTCGGTTCTGGTTTGATTTCAAACCTTTTCCAGTATCGAACCCTGGAAGCGTCTCCATGCGTCGCTCTGGTCGAATGAAAAGCCGACATTCCAGATCAGATTCCTCATTTAAAGCGTGAAAACAAACCGACAGCAACGCGGTTCTCGTTCTCTGTACTTCCTGTCTCATCAGCGCCAGTCAGACGGAGCCGGTTCTGGTTCTGCTGGATGTTTTCCTCCAGTGGAGAGGAAGTGATTCCTGTCCACTGTCGCCACATGCTTGGTCAGGAGAAGGAAACCAGAACCGCTGCTGACTGGATTGTTCTGGAATTTATTTATTAAATAAACTTAATAAATTAAGTTTATTTAATCTGTTTATGCTGATTAAATAAACTTAAACTGATTAAAAATCTGACTTAAAATTCAAATGAAACTAAAATCATGAGGCTGAAAATGTTTGGATGTTTGGCCTCAGCATCATGAGAACGCCTTCGCTCCTCTGGGAGATGACAGCACAGCTGGACCATGAAACTGGGCGTAGCAGCTCCATTATTCACTCTGGACCAATCATGGAAACAAACTTCTGTCAGTTTTCTGATCAGATGTTCTCTGACCCAAACGGCGGAACCACAGCAGCAGAATCAGAATCGGTTCTGAGGCAGGAAAACGTCAGAGAGGAAGATGAACGCTGACATTTCTTCATCCTCTCGTTTGAAAGCTGCAACCTGCCGATCAGAGCCGATCAATAATCATTCAGCTGACGACTTACTGAGCAGGAAGGAGATCCGAGGAGGAGGAAGAGCGCACGTGGAGCCCAGCAGGCCGAGGAAGAGGAGGGCGAGTGAAGAGGCCATGCTGCAGAGCGCCGGAGCCTCTGGGTCGGGTGTGGAGCGCAGAGCAGCAGCACTCACAGTGACGATCAGAACAACCGCAGCTTCCTCTCCTCAGTCTGAGGTCAGAGGCGACGAAGAGGAGGAGGAGGAGGCAGCGCTCCAGGATGTGATGAAATGCAGCAGATAACGGCGATGCTTTCAGGAACTTTAAACACGCTTCTCTGAAAACCACTTAGAGAAAGGAGGAGGAAGTTCTGGTCCGGATCCAAACTCCGCCTCAGATTTACACACAACTTAGAGACGAAGCGGCAGAACAGAGCCGGAGTTTCTTCTTCTGCAGAAAATCAGGAAAAAATCAGAGGAATCTGAGGAGATTCAGGGAACCGCTGCAGCCGAAGGAGAAGATCTGGATTTACAGCTGAGGAGGGATGGAGGGATGAGGAGAGAAGGAAGGGAAAACATCCAACTATCTTCTTGGATCTCAGATAAATTTCCTGTTTCTCCTTCATTTGCTGCTCAGTTTAAATACTTTAAATTCCTGAAAACAGAAACAAATTTTCCTTCAACTGATACAATAGAACCAGATATTCCAGATGTTTTTAACTCTCTATGGCATGTTTATCATAAGATGTTCATAAAGTTAAATATGTGGAGAGTCTCCACTTTATGGAGAGTGGGAGTGTCTCTGCTCTCTGGTTGGACAGAGACCAGGAAGTCCTGCAGCAGTGGACTTCCTGGTCCTGATTGGATGTAGAAACTGGTTAGGTCCAGAAGGTTCTGAAGATTTGAGTGGGTCAGAACCGTCAACACGGTGGGGGAGCAACCAACTGAAGAAGAAGAAGAAGAAACGGTGATGTTGGATATTTTATTCCTAAACGAATCGACTGCAATGATTTTTCTCACATCAGAACATTTTGTATAAAACTTGAGCTAGAAACATTTGTGAATGTTGGACTGAAAACATCTTCAGATTCGTTCTTCTCCGGGTTTAATCCAAGTTCATGGGAATATAAAGAATCTGATTGGTTCCTCCTCCGACCAATCAGACACTGCGTTGATCCTCCAACTCTACTGTCTGAACTTTGACCCCAGCTTTGACTTCTGTCCAGTGTGTCCATGAGCAAGGCACAGAATCCTGTGGTGCCAGCAGGGGGCGCTATAAGGCCACCAGCAGCAGGTTTGTGCGAGGCTGCTGAGCAAGGCACTGAGATGCAGTCAGTTTCCAGCTGGAGTTCCTGCAGGACTGGATCCGACGACAGGAAGTCATCTTCATCATCACCTTCATCATCACCTTCGGCCGCTCCGTCCAGCAGCAGCTCGGCGCCTCTGGGGTTAAAGCGGCGGCGACGACTCGAACTTTGGTGGAACCGGAGGTCGACTTGGACGAAGAGGAGGTCGTCTGCAAACACAGAGTTTATCAGCTTAACATTAGCTTCTGCTAATTTATTTAGTAGTTTAGCATTAGCTTCTGCTAATTTATTTAGTAATTTAGCATTAGCTTCTGCTAATTTATTTAGTAGTTTGGCATTAGCTTCTGCTAATTTATTTAGTAGTTTAGCATTAGCTTCTGCTAATTTATTTAGTACTTTAGTGTTAGCTTTTGCTACTTCTGTTTTTAGCGATGCATAGTTTTTAAAGTTTTTTTTAGCAGAGCTGAAATTCTCGTCTAGCTAATTAGTGGTTAGTGAGCCCAACCTTTTGGTTAGTCGTCGCCAATAACTGCTGCTGACTTTATTGCAAACATACATTCTTCATTACAATGAAAGGGGTTAGGGTTAGGGTTACCCTAACCCTATGATAAAAAATAAAAAAAACATATGACTCCTATGATTCAAAATATGTAGGTTATGATTCGACTTCAAACATTCACCATTTTAGGGCAAAAATTCGTTTTCAATGACAACCATTGTGGCTTTGAAAAGTCTAAAAAATACGAATAAATCTGATTTCTGTGTGTTCATGAATTGACCTGATGGAAACGTTCCTGCTGGCTGACCTGAACTTGTTGATGTTTCCCAACAGGAAGATCCTTCGACTCCAGACCAGAACCATTCGGACTGAAAACCGTCTCTACCAGAACCAGCCCAGTTCGAACCACGATGTGATACGCAGGAATGGATGGGCGACAAATTCTGAGCAGCCTGGAGCCTGACGGTCTGACATTTATGTGGAAATATTTAAAGGGCCAGTATCGTGTTTTCCAGGCACAAGGTGACATTTTAAAACACAATCAAATAACTGAGACCTTCAGTTGACATAAAAAAAAACATATTAAATGTGACTTAAAGGACATTTGACTTCCTGACTTAACGCTTTGAAATTGGGCCTCTATCTTTTTAAAAACTTCTGATCTTTCTGAAGCTCCGCCTCCGGAAGTCATCCCAGAATGCAACGCTTCAGGTTTGTTTTTGATGAGGGAAAAAACATTAGAACATCTTCGAAAAATTAAAATAAAATTTATTTTACACAGCGGAGACCACTCAAAAAGCAGGAAGTGGACTACAGCGCAGGGCATTCTGGGTAAATGCAACCAAAGCTAACTTGCTAGCCTAGCGCTAGCAGCAGAAATGGCTCCTGGTCTTTAGACAAAGACTAAAGACAAATTCTCCAACTACTAAAATCTGACGCCTCCATCTTGTTTCCATCTGGTGAAGAAGGAAGTTGCTCTCAGTGTCTTCAGAGGTTCCATCAGGATGGAAACATGTTTAATCTGCTTTATGTTTTGGTCCGATAAACTCATTTACTGATGCTCATCAGAAAGTTGGCTGAAAGGAAAACCTGTCAGCAGTGGCAGCTGGATGATGATGTCCAGGTGGATTATGGGTACCTGTGAGGACCGGCTGCAGGCGCCACGGCGCCCTGCGCAGCCGGCTTGGTGCTGGAGGCGTAGCCGCTCTCTAATTGGTGGAAAGGCTGAGTGGGCGGAGCTGGTGGGCGGGGCTTCTTGGGTACGATGGGCTTTAGTGGAACAGAAACCTGAAGACAGGAAGAAGTTTGAGACCAGATCAGAAAAACGTTCATAAAGCAGATGATTAACTAACTGATGATTGGTTCACTAAATACTAAAGCTGTTGTCATGGCAACTACATCTCATTCGAATCCATCAATCAGCAGACCTGAACCTCTAGTCTACCATGATCACATGTTCCAGTCCGGCCAATCAGACCAACGGCTGAGCGGCGTACCTGTGCAGGTGGGTCAGGAGGGAGGGGCTTGTTGGGCGGGGCCGGTCGGCTCGCAGGCGGCTGAAAGGTTAGTGAGGAGGAAGAGGAGAAGATGAAGATGGGAAGGCCGCATGCAGACAGAACCGGGTCGGTCCAAAGAGTGGTTACCATAGCAACAGAGACTGGTTGTTATAACTGACACTGAAAGCTCAAAATAAATAATAACTTTAGCATTTAGTCAGTTTTACTTATCGTTTGATTTTGAATAATTTTTTACTATTTCTCTGTCTGCATTTTATTTCCAGCCGGGTGAAAATAAAGTAATAAAAAGTTAATGTAATGTTTTGGAAAAAAGAAATTGTGGAAATCAAATTAAAAAAATTTGAAAAAAAAAAAAATAATAATAATAATTAAAACAAAAAAGGATGTAAATTTGACTAGTCTATATATAGACCATAAAATAGAAAATAAATCAATACTGGTGCGTTTATTCTGCATTTTTGTTTTCCTTGTTATTGAAAGACTTTAAATTTAATTTTTTTCTAAGTGCATTTTGTTTCCAGTCATGTTAAAATAAATCAAAATAAATGAATAAATAAATTAATGCTAATATGTTTTAGAAAAATCCAAACAGAAAAATTGGAAAAACAAAAAAGTAAATTAATTAACAGCTAAAAAAGAAAGAACTGTAAATATGTGACTTTATAATAATATTAGTAACATTAGTTTAGTTTTAAAGCGTTCAGCAGCCTGAATGTAAAGCAACAGGTCAGATACAGGTGCAGGTGAGCGTACCTGGTTGCCAGGGGCGACAGGGTCAGGGGGCAGAGGCTTGGTGGGAGCAGCTGGTCTTGCTTTAACCAGCTGACGCAGCAGAAATGAAAGCAAGAAGAAGAGCAGGTCAAAGGTCAGGAGGAGGAAGATAAAGGAGCAGTTACCCTCTCACAGACACAGAGTTTATTTCTAGATCCATTCAGTGAAAATCTATTTAAAGTTTCTGCAAAGTTCCTGAACTGATCGAGTCCTGAGCATCGACTGCATCAGAGAGCTGAGCCGGAAGACACAAACTGATTCAGTAAACTGACTGATTCAGTAAACTGACTGATTCAGTAAAGTGATTCAGTAAACTGACTGATTCAGTAAAGTGATTCAGTAAACTGACTGATTCAGTAAAGTGATTCAGTAAAGTGATTCAGTAAACTGACTGATTCAGTAAACTGACTGCAACAGGAAACTGGATTTTTCTTGATTCTTTATAAATGCTGCGGTGGTTTGACCTTTCTAACACCGACTACAGCTCTGACTCAGGGGCCCAGTACTGACCCCAGGGGCCCCATCAGTGTGATGAACTGAACCTGGTACTGGTGAGTCAGTCACACCATGTGACCAGAAAATGTCAAGTTAATGACCCAATTAGTGACCTTGATTTCTTTTATTTTTGCGTTTTTATAATGTAAAGCATTTTGAACTGCATGGTTGCTTAAATGTACCATATAAATAAACTTTAATGAACTTTATTGACCTATTAGTGACCGTAACAACCCCATTAATGACCCCATGGTGACCTTAGTGGTCCCATTATTGACCTTCATGACCTCATTAGGTCTAATTGGCCCATTTGTGAAATTAATACCCCACTAGTTCCTGTTAGGCTAACGTCTCTGTTAGCCTTCTAATCAGGACATGACGGGCCCCGTTAGCAGCACTAATGTCCCATCAGTGACCTTACCGGCCCCATCGGTGTGACTGTTCTGACTGCAGATAATAAACGTTTTATTTCTCATCATGTTCAGAACGGAAGAAACTTTTTGGATGAAACATGAAGAACCAAGAGACAAAGTTCAGTTCCTTCTACTGCAGAAATGAACTGATTCATTCAATAATCGTTAAAATCAAACTGCTTTTAACCTCTTACACATTTCTTCAAACCTTCCGATCATGAAATAAATGTTCAGATCAGACAAAAATAACCTGACTAAACACAAAAACATCCAAACCAACCAAAGTCTCTGACATCTATTCTAGTTTCTAAGATGGTAGGAAAACAAGATGGATGCAGGTGAAACGTTTGAGCCGCTAAATGTTTTATATCAACTAATATTCTGCTTTTCTCAAGTTAAATTATAAAAAATTAAACTATTTCAGCTGTTGTAAGTCTTTGGTTGATATGGAAAAATAGACATTTTCCCATAATTTCATAAACAATCCCACATGAAGACAACACAGACGTCTGGACCGAGACGACAAGCCACAAACTACAGAGCAGCAGCTGAGATGAAGTGGGACGCACAGACACACCGAACGGCCAGGTGTTGGTTACCTGCTGCGGGGGTGTTAGGGCGGGGTCAGGGGGGAGGGGCTTAGTGGGAGGAGCAGGCCTGTCATGAACCTGATTGGAGAGAAAACAGGAAGCAGAGGCAGACAGCAGCAGCAGCGTTAATAAAAGAGGAAGGGAAGCAGACGCCGCTTCGCCGTTTCACTTCCTCCCACGAGCCTCAAATCCGACCAATCGGAGGAGCTCATTTCACTTCCTTCATCAGTTTTACTCTCCTGCTCCAAACATGGAGGTTTCACATCAGCAAAGTTCTGATTATTTACCTTTAAGAACCCTGATCAGACGAATGAGTATCTGCAGAAACTGGTGGATCAATAAACTGAAGCCGGCTCTGAAACTGTTGCCGTTTGGCTCCGTGTGACGAGTTGGGTGTTTTTCTTTTCCTCACAGGAATAAATAATTATGGAGTTCTGGGTAGAACAGATTTATTCAAAATGTTTATATTTTTGTAGTTTTAGATCTGCTCTGACTGTGTTGTTCTGTCTGAAGTCCAGTAAAAGATTAATCGATCACTAAGTTACCAACTATTTCAATAAGTGTTTAATCAGATTAATTGCTTCAGACCTACTGGAAACAAATTAAGCTGACAAAGCTGCATGTTTATGACCGTCTCCATAGCAACGTGTCTGAATCCAGCAGGAAGCTAACGTTGATAGAACATTGGTCTTACTGACCCATCTGTAACCTGGAGCAGAAATGAAACACCTGGTTACCACGGAGACCTAACCCAAACCAATCTGGAGAGAAAACGGTTCCACCGTTTACTGCTGCTTAAATCAGCGTGGTGAAGGCGAACTACGCCCCCTGCTGGTGTCACCCGGTACAGTTCTGCTGAGTCTCTGTGGAAATGGGCCCAACAGGACCAGACCCTGAAGACATTCTGCTTCCAGTTTAAAGGTCATGAACCCAGACTCTTTCCTCCAGCCAGCGCTCAGTGTGTGGTGCCGTTGTCATGGTTACCTCTTTGTGGGGCGGCGCCAGCGCTCCGTCGGACTGCGGGTTCAGGTGGTATCGCAGCGGTCGGACCTGCTCTCCGTTGCGACCGTCTACTCGCTCCGTCGCCGGCGTCCTGGACAACATGGAGGACGGTTGTCATGGCTACATCGTGGCGGTCAAGAAGAGGCGCCGGAACCAGCAACGGTCCGGATCCGCTCTGGGTTTCATGTTGTTAGTTTAGCAGGAAACACAACATCACGCTAACTACCTGGCTACAGACGGCCTCAGATCTCTGAAGGAACTTAAAGCTGCACTGAAGGGCTCAACACTGAGGACTTCATTACCCAGAATCCCCTCTGCTCTGATCGGGATCCATACTGGGATCTTTGTGAGTACAGCTTTAAGTGGATTTACAGGAGGAGTGATCACATCAGTCAGGAGGTCAAGATTTAAAAGCACAGACCGTCGGGTTGGAGCGAGTACGTCTGAGCAGTCAGTATGTTACCAGCACGCTGGAAAAACAAAACCTATTCAGATGTATTATTATTCTATTGTGAATAAATTCAGGCAGTGAGGTGTTCAAACTTTATTTCTGGATCGCGACAATCACTGCTAACAGTTTAGACGTTAGCTGCTAAGCTAGCAGGGCAACTGCCATGTTAGTGCTGAAATGCTAACAGATGTAACAGTTATTTCACTCTGAAAACATCGACTATGTACGACCGGGCGTTGGAATAACAAATGTTAGATGTAAAAACTTTAAGGGAATAATTTCCATCCACGTGTTTGGTGAACGTTAGCAACCTGGAACTAAGCTAAAATAAGATGAAGACTTTACTGGTTGAAGACTGGCAGAGCAGGGGAAGCAACGCCACCTTGTGGTGTAACTTGGTACAACACCTCAATTCAATACACTTTGATCCCCTTTAATTCTGTTAAATCATCAATAAAACAAAACAATTTGATCAGTTTGTTACATGTTGGATTCATGTTAATGTGTATTCATATTTATTTATATTTGTCATGATGATCACATCAATTTATTCAAACGAAGTTAAGAGACTTTCCTTCAGTCCAACTTATCACGAGGTCTGTATGTAAATATATGAACCTGTATGGATTAGAGAAATTCTGCAGTAAATTCAGTTCTTATAAGGGAAACTGGAGCCTGACAGCTGGTAGGATACTGAGCACTCACAGATACTCCAGACGACCACTAAGCCTACAGAACCATCTGCTGAGCAGAACCCGGCAGGTCCAGCAGTACCTGCAGGCGTGGGCGGGTTCAAACTCCAAACCCCACAGCTCAGAGTCAGCCACACTGCATTGTGGGTAAGAGTAGAGTTATGCTTGAAGTTGAAGTCTGTGTGTGTGTGTGTGTGTGTGTGTGTGTGTGTGTGTGTGTGTGTGTTTGGGTCGGCGGTACCGGTTGTGCTGCCGGGCCTTGTGAAACGGGCTGTTGGGTCCGAGGCAGCAGACCGTCCGCCGGAAACGGGGGAAGCGCAGAGCGAGGAAGAGGAGCACCACGGGCAGGATGAAGAAGAAGATGAGGAGCAAGGCGACCCGGACCGGATCGGACTCTGAGCACAGAAACAGGCGGGTCAGCGGCAGAACCGGAGCCGGTTCTGGTTCTGGTTGTGAGGGGGAAGCACCTGCAGCGGCAGCAGCCGGGCCGCTGTCGACGCTGCCGCCGCGACCAGAGAACCTGCAGTCAGGAGGAGCCCAGCCGGCGTCGCAGTGGCACTTCCTGTTGCTGTTACACACCTGAGACAGGTAGACAGGAACCGCCAATCACACGACTGGACTCATCCAGAGCATTACTGAGACAGCCAAACATTTTTTTATTAAAAATCCAGATTTACTCTGAGGTCCAAAAAGAAAAAATCAAAACTTGTTTCCATAAAATCAGACGTTCTATAAATAATATGAAATATTTTTTTCCTCCTGAAGATCTCTGGCTGTTTTTTCATTATAAAAAAAATAAACACTTTATACTGTTTAGATCCTAAAGTACTTGCATATAAAATAGTTTAAATGTTTATTTATTACAGAATATAATATTTAATCTGTCTTAATAAAGACCATCTGTCTTGACTCAGAAAATTCACTCATGTAAAATATATTAATGGTCCATTTTAATTATAAATCGACATGTTTTGATTTTAGAAGGTTTTGGTATTATTTGCTTCTTTATTTATTGGTTTATTTCATTGTTAAATAACGTGTATAAAAACTGAATGAATTGATTAACAAAATTTTGAAAGTATAAATATTTAGTTTTTTAAGTAAAAAAAATATGCAGATACCAAAATTGCGTTAATTAAAAACATATCAAAATATAAGAGTGAATTAATTTGATAATAATGAAGTGATTTCAGGTTTTTTTTTCAGTTCTGCATGTTTTCAGGAGTCGCTGCTAATTAAATCAGGACTCTGTGACGTTAATAAAAAACAGATGGTTCATGCATGTATTTGGTTTTACTGTTTTGTAATGTGCTTTTTTATTTAATTATTTTATTTTGAAGCCTGAAATGGTGCGACTCACTCCGTGACCGCTGCACTTCCTGCGACATTCTTCCACGCCGAACACGGACGCATCCTCGCATTTCTGATTCAAACAAGCCTACAAACACACACAGGGAATAATATTATAATAAGAATAAATATTCTTTTTATTATTACATGCAAAAAAAGAAGCATCTCTATCATAAACTACACTTCAATACTTAATACTGTAAAAAACTAACTTCTCATCACTACATGTAACTTTTTAAGGCTGAATGAGAAAGAAAACCTGAACCAGTAGAAACAAGTTAGCCTGTAGGCCAATCAGATCTAAGATGAACTCTGATTGGCTGAGAGGGCAGGAAGTGCCCTCTGACCTTGCCGGGCCCGCAGGCGGTGCCCTGGGCCACGGTGGCCGGGTCGGACATGTCGTCGTCCAGGTGGAAGAACGTCCCTCTGCAGACCAGGTCGCTGTGGTTGAAACGAACGGTCAGGATCTGGGCGATGCTGCCCAACAGGGGGCGCTCCGTCCCGCCCTGACACTGGATCCTGCCGCACAGAACGTCTCTGAAGCAACAAGAGACACAGATGGATGAACCCCGAACACAGAGGCATCGTGGGATTTGTAGGCTGAGCAGATCAGTGTTTACTCACCGGCTGGCACAGGGGATGTAAGAGCCGTTGGCCAGCTGACCGCAGTTTCCATATTTATTTCCCTGTTTGTTGACGGATGAGAAGCACATGGCTGGAGCGCTGCTGGCATCTGGACACACAGAACCAGAACCGACTGGGTTCAGATGGAAGCTGCTAACACCAGAACCAGAACCGACTGGGTTCAGATGGAAGCTGCTAATGCTAACACCAGAACCGACTGGGTTCAGATGGAAGCTGCTAAATGCTAACACCAGAACCGACTGGGTTCAGATGGAAGCTGCTAATGCCAACACCAGAACCGACTGGGTTCAGATGGAAGCTGCTAACACCAGAACCAGAACAAACTGTGTCCAGTTGGAGCGGTGTTTCTAATTTTACTGGAATCAATCTGAACTGGTTTTCTTACTGGTTCCCCACAGCATCTGGCACTGGAAATCCATATCGGCGCAGACTCCTCCGTAGCAGTAGGAGGCGCCGTTCCGGCAGGCCTCTCCGTTCTGCAGGAACACATTGGGGGGGCAGTGAGGGGCGGAGCCTGTGCAGTACTCAGGTAGGTCGCACTCTCCCAGCGGCTCCCGGCACACCGAGCCCGCAGCGCGCAGCTGAACCCAAGAAGAAGAAGAAGACGCGTTAGCGAGATTCTGGTTAAACCAGTCGAGTTTTATTTGTGCACCTGGAGCCTGGCTCACCTTACAGTCCTCACAGCAGATACCGTCTGAGGAGCACTGAGCTCCAGGAACCAGCTGGCAGGTGGAGGCGTTACAGCACGGGTCATCACACTCCTAACCAATTAGAGCGCAGCGTCAGCAGGAAGAACCAGAGGCTGATTCACAATTTAATAATGCTATTATTACTGACGCATTTAAGGTGGGCTGGTGAATAATTAAGCTGCTAAGGAGTGCAGGTGCTTATTTAAGGTGTCCAGGTGTGTACCTCCAGCAGGCCGCAGTCACACTCCTCTCCTTTCTCCACGTACAGGTTCCCGCAGCGCGGTCCGCCCAGCAGGCGGTCGGGCTGCGGCACGTTGAACAGACACATGCCGCCGCCGTGCAGCAGGCTGACAGACAGATCTGCGGCGCTGCAGCTGCTGAACTGCTGACCTGGCATGAAGCTGAGGTCAGAGGTGAACAGGTGAGCCACAACACGGGGAGATCAGACAGGCTAATCCTGTTAGCCACGACCGCCAGCCACGCAGGCCAGCAAACACTTCCTACTCGGACAGGAAGGTTCTGCAGTATCTGCTCAAAAACTCAGCAAACTGAAGCTGTAGGAAGGCCTTTATTTGACCTTTGACCTCCTATCAGCTGAGGTTTTAACAGTTGGCACTAATAGCTGCACCGGTCTGATGTTAATATCTGAATCGGTCCCGACATTTAAAAAAATTCTAGATCGATTATTATGACAATGTTGCCAACCCATGAGGGCAGATCTAGTCAGTCTAATTCTATGCTTTATTTATTTTACTCTATATTTATTCTTTCTAATTGCACTTTGATCCATTTGAAAGAAAACTTGTTGCAGTTTATTTCACATGTCTGACCAGGTGAGTCCGTTCAGGATTTATTTCACATTCGCTGTTATACTTCTAACTGCACCGACTGAACAGGTTAAAGGTTTTTACATGTTTGATGTTATTTAAGTGAGCTGTACTGGTGCAGAGTTGGCAAATAAATTTAAAAATCAATACATTTGTGTCCATTTAAAAATAAAAACTCTAATTCAATTAACTTCTGTATCAACACGTTGACAAACACTAGCACTGGTTTTAGCTGAGAAGTTGTCAACATAACAGTCATAACAGAAATAAGTGCCTCTTTAGACTGGAAGGTTCTGGTTCTGACCCGGTTGACGGCTCCATGATGCATCCTCCGAGGCGGGGCTCGTTGTCGCAGGAGCAGCGGCGCTCGGCCGTGTCGTGCCTCATGCCCAGATTGTGTCCGAGCTCGTGGGCGACGGTGGAGGCCACGCCCAGAACGCTGACCAGGTGGTCCTGAGGAACGGAGACAGGTCAAACAGGAAGTGGGCGGGTCAAACAGGAAGTAGACAGGAAGTGGAGGGGCGGAGCGGGCCTCACCACGTTAACGCCTCCGGATCGGTCCCTGGAGCACATGGAGGACTGGGACGCCATTCCCACAGTGGTACCGTCAAACGACTCGCCCCTGTTCGGGTCAGACAGAGCGCTCAGGTCCGGACCGGACTCTCTAAGGTCCAGATGGGACTCGTTAACGTCTGCACTGGACTTTTTAATGTCTATTTAATCCATAATAATAACTTGTGTCTTCAGGTAAGACAGAGTTTATACACGGAGTTCTAGCTCTAGTAGTTTTCCACATATAAGCAGAAGGATAAAACGATTGTGATTAATCGAATATGGGAAACTCGATTATTCATTAACTGGAATATCAATGCTGTAAAACGGCCATTTGCTAACAAATGACACTCAGATTAAAGCTTTTCAGATTAAAAACCTTTTCAGTCGGTAAACCCGTCTCACCTGAACTCCTCTGGTTTATATCCTGCTCAATAAATCTTCAGTTAAACCCCTTTGCATCCAATTATTAATCTGTTAATCCAATAATAATCCCCAGATCAGCTCTACTCTGTATTAATGCTCAGCTTTTCATGTTGATGTTAGAAAGGTTTTTTAGTTGCAGATTCTTCCTCTTTTATCTCCTTTTAGGTAATGAAATGCCAAATTTCTCATTAAAATTGATTTGTTTGAATGTATTTCTAGTATTGAGTAAAATAAGTTTAAATGGTTTCATTAAGAGGGCTGCGCAGTTGGTAGAGCTGTGACCTTGCAGCAAGAAGGTTCTGGGTTCGATTCCCGGTCTTTCTGCATGGATTTTAGGTGCCCCTAGGTGTGTGTGTGCATGGTAGTTTGTGTTGCCCTGCAACAGACTGGCGACCTGTCCAGGTGACCCCACCTCTCACCCAGAACGTTACCTGGAGAGGCAGCAGCACCTCCCAACCCCACCAAGGTGTAGAGAAATGGATGGATGGGTTTCATTAAAAAAAACACAGAATGTGGTGACTTTTAAGTCAGTGACTAAATGAATCGTTAGCCATCTGTTAAAAACCCCAAAACATTCAAGGATTTTAAGGTGACTGTGTTCATAAAGAGAAAATGTTAAATTTTCAAACTTTTAAGGACTTCAGGGCCTGATGGGAACATTTTAGCCCTTCTGTCTCTGGGTGTCGACAAAGCCCGAGGGACTTAAATAAACCAGGAGCTTTTATTTTGAAGGCATACATGATGAGCTGGGCGTTGTCATGGCGAAGGCGTGGCAGCAGCTCTCTGCTCCTCCACTCCAGGAAGTTGTTGAGCGTGTCGGTGGCGCTCCTCTCCACCCGGATCTTATTGCGGTCGCTCCAGACCTCCAGGCCCGTCAGCGCCACCCGGACCTTCAGCGGCCGGTAGAACTGAAACAGAGAGCGGGGCGGTTCTGTTGGACCGGAGCGGAGCGGACGGGACCGGACCGGAGCGGGACTCACCCAGTCCACCTGGTTGGCCACGTCCAGCAGCCGGTACACGATGGTCTGGTTGTTCCTCTGGTAGTTCAGGAACTGGAGGGAAAATGTTATTTTAGATAATCTTCTGGAGGAAACAAATGAATTTCTGAGCTCCAAAAGTCAAACAATTTGGAGAAAAAAAATTAAGAAATCTTCCAGTTTTCTAGAAACCTTCTGAGACGGACCCTCACTGACCTCCTGATGGTCCGCCACCAGCACCAGCTCCACGTGTTTGGTCTCAGACAGGATGTCTCTCTTGGTCTGCGGGGAAACGGAGCGGGGTCAGAGGTCAGAGGAGGAGCGGAAACGGAGCGGGGTCAGAGGTCAGAACAGGAGTGGGCAGAGAAACGGCAGCTCACCCGCTGGCCGGCGGTGCGGCTGGAGGACGGAGGACCGGGCGTGTGCGCCACGGCACAGCCTACCGCCGCGGCGCCCTCCAGAGGACCGGCAGAGAACAGCAGGTGAATGTCTTCCTCCTCTCCTCCTCCCGGCTCCTCCAGCCGCTCCCTGACCTCTGGCTGCAGCTCCAAGGTCACGGAGGAGTTGAGGACAATTACGCCGCTGCAGGAAAGAACGCCGCTGATCAAAGTATTCAACCGCAGAAGAAGAAGAGACTGATTTCATGAGTTAAGTTTCCTCCATTGCAGGCTGCAGCAGGAAAGAAGCATCAGATTAAATCTGCTGAGGAGAAAATCCTCAGAGAGGCTGGTTCCTCAGGCCAGTCGAAGCGGCGCCTCCTGGTGGCCGCATGTGGGAACGGCCACTGGGAGGTTTTAGGTATGTCCTTGCTTCAGTCCAGCTGATTTCAATCGATGACTGATTAACAGGCGTTTGTTGAACTGCAATCAGCTGAATCAGGCACATTAAAGCAGGGAAACCTCTAAAACATGTAGGACAGCGAGCCTTGAGGACCACGGTTGGGAAACTCTGCTGCACAGTATATTATTATTCCTGTTTGTTATTTACAGATTTTCACAGTTATTGTGCGAACCTCTGCTGCTGCTGTGTCAGCAGGGCAACAGAAGCCGTTTCTATTCTAATCCAGGACATTTCTCCAGCTTAAAGTCAGTTTGGTTTTATTTGGGTTTTCGTTGCTGCTGAAGGTTTCAGAACGCCGACCGTTCCCGTCTCAGTTTTGGTTCTGGTGGTTTCACCGTTAGAGGGATTATTTGAGGATTTCTGTGTTTCCAGGTAATCTGAATAATCCCAGCTGAGCAGAAAAAGCTCCACATCATATCTCTAACAGTTTCCTCTGTGCCGAGTCGCTCTGGCCCAGAAAACCTTAGAACCCTCTGATCCCGCTGCAGATCAGAGGTTCGCTAATCGGATCAGGTGGACCTGCAGGAGAACCGGGACACAAAACGCCCAGAAATACGAAGAGCTGCTGAGCAACCGTGAACAAAACTCTGGTTCTGGACCGGACCACCTGAGGATTCTTAACTGAGTGACTCAGCAGAACCGAGCCGGAGTGGATGAGTCAGCAGATTTCTGCAGCGTCAGCAGAACCAGATCGATGTTGGGAAACTAGAGAAACTTCCTCAGTCCAACAGCAAGAGGCTGAACGCAGAGACGCAATGGTTTAATTCATTAGGATTATTAATCTGAAACCAAGAAAATATCTTCAGTCACTGTTCTGTCTGAACAAACCAGAACCAGAACTTTTCCTTTAAACACCACCCCCCCTAACTTTTCATTTAGAATATTCGATCATATTTTAATCATAAAGACCAGAATTTATCTTTAATCTGGTCTTCATGACTAAAGACCAGATTAATCATAAACTAACAAGTTAGCAGAGTTAATGCTCAAGTGCTAATTATAAACGTTAGCTCCACTAATGATAAATTGCTACACAGATGTGTGACAATGTGGAAGCTAATGCTAAAGTGATATACTAACACGGTATTTAGTGGAAGCTAATGCTAAAGCGCTATAGTAACATGGTATTTAGTGGAAGCTAATGCTAACATGTTATACCAACATGTTATTTATTGGAAGCTAATGCTAAAGCTCTGTACTAACATGGTATTTAGGAGAAGGTAATGCTAAAGCTCTGTACTAACATGGTATTTAGGAGAAGGTAATGCTAAAGCTCTGTACTAACATGGTATTTAGGAGAAGGTAATGCTAAAGCGCTATACTGACATGGTATTTAGTGGAAGCTAATGCTAAAGTTCAAATCATACATAGTATTTCTGCTAACGCATCCTCTGAAAGCAGAGGCTGTTGTTTTAAACAAAGAAGTAATTTTTCAGCATTTACATAAATCAAACCTGGAAAATATCAAAAGATAAATCCTTTATTTCCTCAGACAGAGTGGGAACTGTGGGAACAGAACCCTGGGTCTGTGTTTGGATCAGACTCCGGGGCGGTACTGACCGGAGTCCAGAGCAGGTGCTCAGAGCCGCTCTGGAGTGCGGGAATCCCCGGATGCTGCCGTGGTAGTAGCAGTGAGTCTGCAGGCGACACAAACACATCGACATCAGTCACAGCCGGAGAACCCGAAGGGACAAACCGGGCCGGAGAACCCGAAGGGACCGCGGTGCGTTCACTGACTCACCACAGGCTCGGCCGGCACAGACACTCCGGTTCCGTTGGGGAGGTAGAAGAAGATGTTGGGTGGTCTGGGCAGCAGGTTGCTGCGCGAACAGAGAGGATTAATGGTTCTGAATGGGTCCAGACGGGCAGCGTACTGGTACGGTACCACCCTGGTAGCGAGACCAGTACCGGTACTTACTGGTTCTTCTCCAGGTCCAGTAGGAGGCGCTGTCCTCCCACCTCCAGCTCACACAGCAGCCTATCGGGATGGCCGTCCTGAAAACGCACAAAACGGGTCAGAACCAGAACACATGCCAACCCACAACCACAAAACAAGGGTCAAAGGTCAATCTAATGCCACACCAGCTGCGGTTTCACTAACCACATAAATGCACAATTTGACATTTCTAAAATAATGCAAACACTTCGAAACAAACAGCGTTTGTTCGATAGCTTAGGTCAGTGGTACCCAAACTACGGCCCGCGGGCCGGATCCGGTCCGCTCCACATTTGGTCCGGTCCCCTGAACAATACCAGAGAGCATTTAGATTTTTTTTCATATATCGTATCTTCCAGACTATAAGCCGCTACTTTTTTCCTCAGCTTTGAACCATGCGGCTTATATGTGTATTTTTCTTCAACCACCAGGGGGCTCTTTAGCAGGAAGTGAATCATTGGAAGTCAAAATTGGAAATCAAAGAAGAAAGCGCCCATTAATACGGAATTAGGTTTTAATAGAGAATTGAAATGTGAGAATGTTGTTGATCAGTTAAATAAGCTTCATGGGGAAAAAGAAGATTTTTCGTTTTTTAAATAAGTGTGGGATCAACATGAGAATTTGAGGTATAGATATTAGGATCCAGTAGATGGCAGTAGTGCAACAATAATGGATGTAAGCTGCTGTTGAAATCTAAAGAAGAAGATGATGACAAAGAAGAAGAAGAAGAAATTGCCTATTTTCATTTAGCTCATGCTAGTAGCAACACGAAGGATCAGCACTTTTACTGTTACAGTTACCGTTCATAAACTACCGTAACTTTTTCTTTTTCAACCGTAATAAATGTGATATTCAATTGACCTGTTATGACTCAAATGTTGGCTGTCCGCCCCCCTCTGCTGCTGCTGCATCGCTGTGGAAAACCTGGAGCGGCAGAGAAATCTGCGGCTTATATGTGAATGTAACCCCAAAGGTTTTTTAAAAAACGTTAGGGTTGCGGCTTATAGTCCAGTCTGGCTTGTAGTCCGGAAAATACGGTATTTATTTCATAAATAGTGTTATTATTTATTTCCTGGATTTTTTCTGTGAAGAACCCAGAGAGGGTTATTTGATTGTGCTTTCTGGAAAACAATATTTTTTTTACATTTAGGCTCCTGCAAACGTCACTTTTTCTGTTACAAACTGACTCCGGCCCCCCAGCAGAGAAGGGAAAGTTATGTGGCCTCACAGGAAAAGGTTTGGGGCCCCTGGCTTAGGGAATCCTGAGCTATCTCTGTAGCTATGCTGCTGCAGGTTTAGGCTGCTGGAGGACAAACTGTCCACTCCTCACTTTGCTACTTTCTCTCTTCACTTTTGCATTACCAGCTGAGCTCATTGGAGGAGCTGCTGCTCAGAGCACAGCTGGTAGAAACGCTGTTAAAGGGTTAATGGAGGAGCCATGTTGGGATGAATTCCAGGACGGAGCTTCAGAAAGACCAGGACATTTTATAGACGGGTGACTTTTAGTTTTGCAGGGCCACTTCCTGTGTTGCCACAAACACCCCCAACTTTTTTAAAGCCTTGGACTCCGGTTACTTCCTCTTCCGTCTCCACTGCGGATCTTCACAAACCGATGCTCTTCATTTTCAGACTCCTTTACCTGGTGAGTCTGTTACCTTGTTGCAGCGCTGCTTCATGTCTAAACCTCTCATCTGATCGCTCACTAATGCTCATCAATGTGTTGTTGGTGGCACTCCGTTGGGATTCTGCCATTAACAGCCACCAGGCTGCACACTGAGGCCAAGCAATAATCACCCCACTGAAAAGGTAAAACAATTATTTTTTCATATAAAAGGAAAACGCCTGATGGTGTCTGGAGCAGAAACTGGAACCAGTCATTTTCTGCACCGGACCCACCTGGATGGACTGGAGGTGTTTTCCAGGTTCCTGTACTTCCTGCCTGAGCTGCAGGTTCAGATACTCTGAGGTTTACTGGTGAGGAGCAGATACAACTGGAAAGGTGAAACTGGGAGTGCAGCTCTCAGACTGGTTCCTCCCTGTCTGCAAACACGATGAGCCAATATTAGCAAACATACTCCTCCCTCAGATTTGGCTTTCTTAGCCTGCAGGTTATTATTTATCTGGAAGAGGAGACACGGGAACAATAGGATGCTAGAAGTAAAATATAGATCGTCCGAAAGAAATGCAGAAAACTGGCGCCAAATTCACAAAGAATCCTGAGAATAAGAGCAGATTCTAGTGAGAAACTCAGTTTCCTTATCGCTGTGGGCGTTAGCTTCTGCAGTTCATGCCAAGATCGTTTCCATTGTGTATTAATGCAGATTAAAGCTTAAATTACTAAAATATGCATCTATAAGTGTTATTAGAGGAGAGCTCAAAGATATTATTGGTAAATATCGGTTTTTATCGGTCATAACATCATAATCAGATATCAATATCGGCCTAGATTCAGCTTCCAGAGGGAGAACAGCAACATTTACACTTAATTAGAACCACAGAAGAAAACTGATCAATCTGCTGATTCATGAGCAGGACGGGCAGCTACTGGACAGGAAGCACATCAGACCGGACCTGTCAGCAGACCTGTCAGCAGACTAGTTAGCGGCCCTGTCAGCAGACTAGTTAGCGGACCTGTCAGCAGACTAGTCAGCGGACCTGTCAGCAGACTAGTTAGCGGACCTGTCAGCGGACTAGTTAGCGGACCAGTTAGCGGATCAGTTAGCGGACCTGTCAGCGGACCAGTTAGCGGACCTGTCAGCGGACTAGTTAGAGGACCTGTCGGCGGACTAGTTAGAGGACTAGTTAGAGGACCTGTCAGCGGACTAGTTAGAGGACCTGTCGGCGGACTAGTTAGAGGACCTGTCGGCGGACTAGTTAGAGGACCTGTCGGTGG